TGTATTCAAACTTTATACGAATTTGAATATGGATTTGCAACTACGGCTTGTTAATAAGAATTATTTAAAATTCAGCAACGTTATATAGAATATTACAATCTACTTATATGCTGGAAAATTAGCTTTAAAACTTAGATTTGACCCGATTTGACTGAACTTTCAAGGCCTAAATATTTTATTCAAGTTGAATTACATTATGTAGAAAAATTCTTCGTTCTGAGTAGAATTCGTGGTATATTTATTTTCTCAAAATTGAATTTCTACGAGTAAAAAGTAGACAATTAAAGTTAGTCATAAATGAACACTTAAAACGATGGATATGGGATTCGATTCATTTACAAATTGTATATTGTAGTTTTACATATTTTACCCAACAAAGTGAATAATTCCATCAACAAGCACGTTTTTTTCTATTTAATGTGTCATTCTGAAACAAACCAAACATCGAAAACGAAAGAGAAATTTTTTCTTGGAAAAAATAAAAAATGACTAAGGTCTAAGATGATAATCATAAGTATTCTAATCATGACTAAAATGACCAGTTGGAAATCGACCGAGGCAATGCTCAGCCGCCGGAAAACTTTGAAATGTAAAATGTGTAAGAATATGTGGCCCGAAAGCATTAGGCTCACAATTAATTATCTTATTGGATTAGGCCTTTATTTAATAGTCAAGCAAATCTAAGCCATTAATCTGGATATTTGATGGACGTGCAAGATCTAAAAACACCCCTATATAAAGAGAAAATTACCCAGCGGACAATCTCATAAGTTTTTTATTCCTAATTAACGATCAAATATTTTTGTTACCAAATTAAACTTTTCCTTTCCATTTTAACGAGATTTTTAGTTTATTAATACCCGTTGACAGCATCTTCTCATCCTCTGCATCCCAATTGAACTTGTTCAATTTCTCTCGTCTTTTCAATTATCACTTCACAGAACACACGCACACACCAACACTTCATATACATACAACATCTCTTCATGTATCTTGTTGTCTCTTCTTCTTAGATCGACCGGAATATCGAGCGTCGGAGAGAGGTACAACAACCAAGTTTGGCGGACATCGATTCGGATCGCTGACTCGATACTTGGGGTCCGTCGAGTACAGATTCTCCGGCGAGAGCTTGACTAGCAGCGACGACGGCTCGGTCAAAGGTTTTCATATCAGATCAATGTCTCGCCTACATGTTTTCATCCCAAATCAATGTTCGCTGATAGGCGTGCGACCAAGTTTGAGGGTAGGGTTTTTTTCGGATCCAGTTATCGGCGGCGATTTTGGTGGCTCCGATTTGGGCGTCCATCAACGGCGGCGCGAGGGAGAGAGGTATCTAAGTTATAAAAAAGCTCTATGTTAT